GAGGGGCGAGCGCGCGTGCGCGTGCGTGCGGCAGGAGCGGCGCGCGCCCCGCGCCGGAAGTGAACGGTGGCCGCGGCGGGGAGCGCGCGTCCGGGCGCGAGTCGGTCCGCCCTAGGGGGCCGCGCGGCCCTCAGCCCCGCCCCGCGTGCCGGGGCCGGACGCGCGGGCTGTGTGATCCGTGCCGCGGGGCGCTGCGGCCGCCCCGCCCAGTCCCCGCCGCCGACGCCCGCTCGGTGGCTCGGCCGGGCAGTCACGGAGCGCGCGCGCCGCGGGAGCTGCGGGCGCTCTCGGCGTTCGGGAGAGGAGCGTCGCGCCGGGAGAGGAGGCGACGGCGGCGGCGGCGGCTGGGGGGCGCGAGCGGCTGCTGCCTGGCGCGGGGCCCCGGGAGGGCCGGGGGGTTGCCGCGGTGAGTGCTCCGCCGCCCGGCCCTCGAGGTCGGGGAGACGGGAGACCCGGGCGTCCCCGAGGCGCCACCGCCTCCATTTTCCCCCGGCGCCCGGCGTGGCCCCGCGGGCGAGCGCGAGCGGCTGCAGCCCGGGGCGGGGTCGCTGCCGCCCGGGCTCTCCGCGGTGGGCTGCGCCCGGCCGGGCGGCCTGCGGTGGGTAGGGGTCGGCGGGGCCTGGGCTGCGCCCTGCGCCCCTCGGGGCTGCACCGTGCAGACAATGAGACCTGGGGTTGCCCGGCTAGGTGCGCCGGGGCTTCTAGCCCCAGCACTGGGCGCCGGTGCCCGGGCACCGAGGCCGGAGAGAGACCGGCTCCCGGTAGCCGCAGAAGCCGGTGGCTCGATGCGGGATTGTTCTGGCTTCCGTGCCCTGCCCGCCTTCAGAGATGAGTTCAATGCAGAGATTGAGAAAGGCGGGGCGTCTTCTCTGTCTTCTCATTAAGCCGGCAAAGTAATTGCCCTGGTGCTTCCTAGCCCCGTCTCGTCTTTCCTCGTACGTTCCCGCCGGAAATCCAAACTGCAATTCAGTGGAGGACGGTGGAAAGGGAGGAGGTTGTGTGATAGTATTGGTTAGGATGCCTTCCTTTCTAAGACGCCTGAAAGAGAACCCTTTTCCTAGTCACACATCGCCTTAGGATGGCCCCGCTGTGCCAACTGGAAACGGCTTGATCCTTAATGTAGGTAAAAAGATGTGCCTCAGGGTGAAATAAGGGCTTTGGAAAAGAATACGAGAGTCGCATGTCTCCTGTGTGTTGCATTGCATACATGTTGTGGGAAGAGCAGTTTGGGGTGGGTGCTGCCTGCAGTATTTCTCATGGAGAAGAGGAGGACCGCCCAAGTAGGTAAAGTCCTCCCCAAAGGAACTGTAAAGGTATCGGGCTAGGGGCGAGGCGTGATTCGATTATTAAAGGGTGGTGTCGTGTTCGTGAGAAAACTGAAGTCGGCAGACAGGCCCGAAACCTCCTCAGGTATAGTGGGAGACACAAAACGACTCCCCCCACCCCCCCAAAAAAAAACAAACATTGAGCGGTGGAAATAGCGCGTTTGGAACAGAGTAAACCGACGTTCCATTCACTGGAACAGTCTAGCAGCGCGATAGTGAATAAACAGGCCATTAACTCGGCACTGGTTCTCTACCGGGAAACCGTAGTGCGCCACCTGTTTACCTCTCCAGCCTGTTAAGAAGGTTGGATAAGATAATGCATGCAGCGTTAGTAGCTGCTTGCCTGATGCTCGGAAGGTGATAGTTCCCTTTTCCTACTGCTGGGGGCAGGGTGGAGTGTCTTGTGAGAGGGTGGGTCAGAAGTGAATGTTGGTAACAGTGCGTTGTAGGCAGTGAAAAAGAGGTTAATTCTGCTTTGAGGTCAGTGTGTATGGCGGTGGGGGGTGGGGGATGTATGGAAGCTGCCGGTATATGAGTGGAGCCTTTTAAAAGGTTGGGTATTTTAAAAATAATGTTTGATCACGTAGTATACATAATAGTGGGTTTCATCGTGATATTTTTGTATGTATATATACGTCATGCATTTTAATTTCAGCAGGACGGGTAGGGTTTCGACAGTGTACATTGGGAGAGGAAGAAATTACACCTGTAGGTGGTAATTAACCTTTTAGAGCTTGATTCTGGAGCCAGACGTGGTGGCTCATGCCCACAGTCGCTGTACTCAGGAGGCTGAGGCAGGAAGGTTGCAGTGAGGTCCAGGGCAACCTGGGTTACAGAATGAGACCCTGTCTAAAAAAAAAAAAAAAAAACCTCTAGGAAGAAGCCCGTGGAGAGGTGTGCAGAAATAAGGACACCCTTTAAAAGTTGTGGTTTTGGTTTTTTGTTTTTTTTTTGAAGTTTGATCTTCAAAATGTTTCTTTTTGTGGGGATTACAGACACCAGTTACAGCCCTGTTGAAGTAAGTACAAAAATGTCTGCAAAGCTTTGTAGCTGATCTTTACATTTTGTGGTATTTGGATTGCTCCTCGCTCTGATTTTAATGAAGAGCTGTGCGTGGCTATTGCTTTGTGATTATTATTAGCTCTGCTTAGTACTCCGCACAGGCTCTTTTGACTCAGGTCTCACTAAGATTATTCAGTCAGTGTCTGGCTGACAGTAGGGCAGGCTTCCTTTGAGAGTGGTTTCACAATTTTTAACACTTTGTTTTCTGGCCAGGTGCTTTTAATGTTATCTTTGAGGATAATTGTTTTGTTTTTGCTAAGTTTTGGCTCTCTCCAAATAAATAAATGTTACTGGACTAGGAACAAGGATAACAGGTTCTGGGATACACATTTGCTTTATTTGCTTTGGTTTGATAGTCACTGACTATGAACACTGGTTTTAATCCCAAACTCTTATATCTTTAGGAAAAGTATTATGTAACCTCAGGCTAATTATTTTGAGTTTTTAATTCCTGTTACCTATTAAATGAGAAGTTTGGAGTAGCTACTGGTTTTTATGTGTTATTTCTTAATGACCTTAAGAATTTGGAGGAGCTAAGTGTGGTCGCAGGAGCCTATACTTGAAAGACTGAGGCAGGAGGATACTGAGTTTGAGGGTGGTCTACGTCATGAGACTTTGCCTCAAAACAAAAGGACTAATTTAATTTTGATGAAGAGCTTTTAAGGTTCTTCAGGCATTTGACCTAAAGTTCATTAGAAAGTTTGAAGATACAGCTCAGGAGGAGAGCAGTTATAGACCACACATAAGGGCTTTGGCACCAAAACCCTACGTCTAATTTGTAATGTTTGAAGTCAGGAGTGGTGATACAAATTGAAATCAGCACACAAGGAGCTAAGGCAGGAGAACTAAGGCTAGCTTAGGCTATACTGAGGTCCTGACTCAAAAAGTTTTTAAAATTATAACAACATAAAATTGCTACTATAAGATATGTACTAATTTCAACACTTCATATGTGTCGAATTATTTATTTCATACCATGCCTGTATAACGGAGGTTTTGTTAATTGAGAAAACAGATACTTTCCCAAAAACTACACAGCTATGTAATAAACAGAGGCTTAAAACCAGCTAGCTTAATTCTTGTATTCTTAACCTCCTTCCTACGCTGCTATAGAGTAAATGAACACATTTTTTTTCTCTTTAAAGTGTGTTAAAGTCTTTAAGCAGCCTTTGCCATTTTAAGCATTAAGTAGTTAACTTTCCATGGCATTAAATACATTCATGTTATTGTGTAACTGTTACACTGTCCATTTCCAGAGCTTTTTCACAATCCCAAACTGAAATTCAGCCTGTTAAATAGTAACTTCACATCTACCGCTTCAGCTTCTAGTAGCAACTTTTTTCTTTGTCTCTATGCCTTTGACTATTCTGGGTACTTTCTGTAACTATAATCATTGTTTTATTGTTATTAGACTTTGCTTTTTCACCCAGAATCTATATTGTAGCCCAGGCTGGACTGTAACTCACTGTATACATCAGGCTGACTTTAGCTCATCACTTTAACATGTTTATTTAAAGTTTTTACACGTTAAAAACCAGCTGATCCACAGACTAGAGCCTCTCTTACTATCTCATTGTTTATTTGTGAATTTTAAATGAACCCCAGGTAGGAAACTTAATAGACTGAAGACTTAAAACTTTAGTTTTGTTCACTGTTTATTTATATGAAATTGTCTCAATATATTACTATGGCTAGTGCACTCTGTTCAATTAAGTAAGCAAAACTGAACATTTCTATGGGGGTTGTAGTCATCCTGTTTAAGCCATTGTTAAAAATAACAATGAATATTTAACAATAAGTTCTGATAATGTATCATAGATGTTTTGTAGTTCGTTGTGTTTCTTTTCTTTCTTTTTGTTTGTTTGTTTTCCAAGACAGGGTTTCTCTGTGTAGCCCTGGCTGTCCTGGAGCTTGCTCTGTAGACCAGGCTGGCCTCAAACTCAGAGATCTGTCTGCCTCTGCCTCCTGAGTGCTGATATTAAAGGTGTACGCCACCAGTGCCTGGGTACAAGTGTATTTTATTTTGCCTTGTGTCTTAGTCACTGTTCTGTTTCTGTGAAGAGATACCATGACCAAGCCAACTCTTACAGAAGAAACATTTAACTGGGTGCTTGCTTACAGCTTCATGGGCTTCAGAGGCTTATTCCCTTATCATTATGATGGCGAGCATGGTGGCATGAAGGCACACATGGTGCTGGAGAAGTAGCTGAGAGCTATATCCTGACCCACAGGCAGTTAGCACAGAGATGCTGGGCCTAGAATGGGCTTTTGAAACCTCAGAGCCCACCCCTGAGTGACACATTTCCAACAAGGCCAAACCTGCCCCTTCCAAACAGTTTCACCCCTAGTGACTAGGCATTCAAATATATGAGCTTTGATGGCACATCTTATTCAAACCATCATATTCCAGTCCCTGGCCCCCATAGGCGTGCAGTCATACCATAATGCAAAATGCATTCAGTCCAACTTAAAAGGTCTATCACAGTTGAAACACTGTTTAAAATCCAAAGCTGAGTCTCTTCTGAGACTCATGACAATCTGTAACCCCCTTTTAAAAAAAACCCAAATGAAGATCACATACTTCCAACATACAGTGACACAGAATAAATATTACTATTCTAAAAGAGAGGAAAGGGAGCATAATGAGGAAATACTGGACCAAAGCAAGACCAAAACCCAGCAGGGCAAACTCCAAACTCTGCCTTTCATCTGATATCAAGGAGTTCTTAAGATCTCCATCTCCTTTGTTGACTGCAACATCCTTCTCTCCGCTGGGCTGGCTGCACACCTGGGCTGCAGCATTTCTTGGCAGTTATCTCACCACTCTTCACAGCTTCATGCAGTGGCCTCTCTGAGCCTCCCTGCAAGGACATAGCTGACACATGCCTGGCCTCAGCGACTTTCCTCAGACGTGAAAGGAGATTGTACCAGCCCTTTCTTGTATCCTTGCCCCTAAAGCCAGGACGAAGCTGCCAGGTTCTGCTGCTTGGTGGGGTCTCCTCTTAATAACATTTGTATC